TGTGCTCTTGGCAAGCAGGAAGTTGTGCCTCAGCTGGGAGTCGGGGTCCAGAGTGAGGAAGCTGCAGCCACAGCAGGCTGGAGACTGCAAGGGGTTCAGAAGAGATTGCAGGGAAGGTGTCCAAAGGCCACGTTGCACATGAATCTTGTGATGGTGCCAGGGTGTGCAGAAATACCCCCTGCTCCAGACACAGAGAGCACAACTGGACAAGTGGCATGGTCTTCCACCACACCAGCCTCTGTAGAAATTCAGTTTTGGTTCCAGCCCTGCCGACAGTCTGCCTGGGCACGCCTCTCAGTCTCACCCTTGTGAGCGACAGCAGTGTGAACTGGATTTCTGCTAAGTCACACGATCACCAAGCCCCCGGGCTGCTGGTCTCCCCTGTTCAGGTGATGTGGGAATCACAATGACTTTGTCTCGTGTGCAAGTTCACAACACTCTCACTAATGACACTCTGCAATCAGAGACTATAGCTACCGCAATGTCTCATTTCCAAGTGGGTTCATTGTCTGATGTGAAGGGTCTACTAGGAGCTGTTTGAGATGTCCTGTGTCGTTTACGCTGACGAGTCGATGAGGCTGGTTTAAGCCTGTAAAGAGAGTAGAAGGACCACACTGGCCTTCCCTGTGGTTCCTACTGTCCTTCTGGGCTTGTGTGCCACTGGGATGACTGTCGAGGTCTCTGAGGATGTTGAATACTTAGTTCTTTGAGAATTAAACAGTGTGACTAATTAAGGAAGGGTGTTCGTTTAATGAAGATGTAACATTATACGTGTGAAGGTTTGGAAACTGAAGTTCTTCCACCTCAAGGTCTCTGTCTGTCTCGAAGTGTCCTTGAGATCATGCTGTCCCAGCTGGACAGTTCGGAAAACCCATCCGGAAGGCAGTGATGGTTTAATCTCTGGAGCCCATGTTCTCCCAGCCTCAGAGACCGGAAGAGCTGCCCCCTCCTGCCCCACAGAACTCCCTCTCATCCCAGCTGGGCGAGAAGAATCCCACCCATCAGGAGAGCTCTGTGGCAAAGGCCACCCCCTAGATCTCGAGCAGTTTGACCAGAATATCCAGGGACGCCCAAGTGGGCACACTCATAAGTGTCCAAGTCTTTTTATCTGGAGGATCACGAAGTCTCCGCTGTTGCAAACACTGTGCTTTTATAATATCCAACACTATGTGCCAACATAGTGTCCACAGTGTATTTTTAAGATTTTTAAGAAGATGGTCATCTGTTCAAGAACTGTATGCAGAGCTATTAAGAGTTAAGTCAAGGCATAAAGTGTTGTTCACCCAGCAAATAAGACATTCATGGCAAATTGTGAGTTAATCAGAGATAATTGTAAGCTTTATTATTGTGAGTCGTACATCACAAATTACTTAATTGCTCATTTCACATAAAACATTAAGCACCACAACAGGTCAAGTGAGCAAAAGAAAGCAAACAGTGTAAATGTTTTTAAAAAAAGCACGTTCAGGTACAAACTGAATGAGAGTGTTTAAGACAGGCAGGATATGTAATTATTTCAACTGAACACTGTTTCAGAAACAAAGATGTTGAGGGTGTCAGTCAGTTCTTATGTGCTGGTTTATGTGGTAATCACTGTCTTAGTCTGTGTTAAGACACAGCTCTGAGGACTGTCATTCATCTGTCTTTGTTGTGGGATTGTGATACTATATGGTCATTATGAACGCCTAGGACACAGCATAAGCAATAAAATGTGCTGAAAACTGGTTTCTCACATAGCAGTCAATCAAATCTCCTCAAAGGGCAGTTCTCAGAAAGTAAGGTCATTCTGAGGAATGTGGTCATCTTAAAAATAGGAATAAAAAGAGACATAATATCGAGTTATAGCCCTCCAAATTTATTTGACTGAAAGCTGTTCAACTTTGCATTTGAAAATATAAAGGAGAAGAGAGAAATATATATGTACACACAAATGAACATGTGCACACAGCAGTAATGTCAATTAACTGTAATTATAATGAACCAAGGCTGAAAAATTAGAATCATTATGTCATTATTCCTGTTACTTAATTTGAACTTCAAATTGTCACTAATTCTTGGGTTAACCTTGTAAATGTTTTTCGGGTCATTGCCCCTCTCCTGTGATGCTGTGTTAAATCCAGCAGACAGTACAGAGTGCGCACACCCTGCTGTCTGAGGCGGCTCAGGCGGGGCGATGGGTCTCTGTGTCACAGACAGCCTGCCGGAACGTGGCGGCCCTGTGGAGGTGTCCACAGCCAGGAAGGCGCTGGTACCGGTGTGTGAGCTCTACAGGCTGGTCAGGGTCAGAGGTTTAAAAGCCTTCTCAGGACCTCACCGCGGGGCTGTCAGACCGCCATGTTCTCTGCTCCGGCACGTTTACCACTCCTTTGTTGTTGATCCTGCGGTTGCTTGAATCACATTTTTTGCAGCTTTAACCATGATGCCTACTGTGGCCTTGATCGCCTGTGCTGGGCCCTCTGCCCGCTCCCCTGCAGCCCCTCCTACCACTGCCCCTACCACTGCCCCTGCCGCCACCACAACACCACCGATCGCCGCGCCTGGGACTGCTGCAGCCACAAGAGCGATCGCGCTCGCCCCCACGGCCGCCCCCAGCAGCGCCCCCAGGAGCGCCCCGACGGTCACCCCCGCCAGCACGCTCAGGAGCTTGCGCGTGAAGCTCTGTGTGGCCTCTTCGGACACGGCGGACCAGGCAGACCCCTCCGGGGGCACGGCCTGGTACCTGCTCTTCAGGATCTCCTCCTGCTCTCTCCGGAGGCCCGTCTCCACCCTGCGGAACGTGTCGTTAGTGTAGTAGGGCTCGGAGTTCTGCTCCCCCACGGAGTCGATCTTCTCCAGGAGCTGGGTGACCTGCCTGCGGTCGCCCGCGTCGTTGTTGTTGAGGACGTGGTACCCCTGACACCTCTGCACAAGCTCCCTGAGGTGCTCGTTGCTCTTGACAAACGCGCGGATGTCCCCTTTGAGATGATCTCCGTGGGTGAAGAGGACCAGGGTGTACCTCAGGGCCTCCGCGCCGAACTGCGCCAGGACTCTCCGCACGGCCTCCCTCTCTTCTTCGGTCTGTCTCCCCAGCTTCACCACCAGGAGGAAGGCGTGGGGTCCCGGGGCGCTCAGAGCCATGCACCTCAAAATCTCCCTCTTGACATCCTCGTGGGACTGGAGCGTGTCGAAGACCCCCGGGGTGTCCACCACGGAGACGCGCCTGCCGTTAATTTCCCCGGTGATTCTGTCACACTGCTGTGTCACCGAGTTCGCACTGGCCAGCCACAGGAATTCCTCCCTTCCAAGAATGGTGTTTCCCGAGCGGCTCTTCCCGCTGCCCGTCTTTCCCAGGAGCACGAGCCTCGTCGCCTGGCGATGGGAGAAGCCTGCGGAAGAGGAGCAGATGGGAGAGGATGTGAGCAGCGTGCAGGAGGACAGAGGCTGACTGGGGAGTATCAGTTCCCAGTAACAACGCACGGGCTGACTTCTCAAGCGCTTTACAGCTGCTGCACTGTCACGCAACAGAACCGCTGCACCTTCATGAGGAAACTTAGCATGAAATAAATGCATTTTTCATGCTGGGAGAAGTGCATTCAAAACTGAGGACAGGAGGCACTTCTGCACCAAGATGTCTGACCAGGTCGACACGATTCCAGGTGAGGAGGAGGAAAGGACACTGAGGAGGTACGACAAGCCTCTCAGCCGATCTCACCGAGATGCCGAGGAGCTCAGCGGGGCTCAGACCTCACGCAGTGAGCAGCTCAGAGGGAACTAGAGCCGCACACTGACTTCCACACCCTGGAGTTCACCGTCTGAAAGCCCCTCAGAAATCACAGAGGTGGACACGGCACATGTTATTGCTCCAATGTGATCCAATGTTTGCATGAAATTAACCACATTTATATATGTATTATATACATATTTATATTTATATATATGTATTATATTGTACTTAAAAATCATATTACACTCAATATGACCACAGATACAAATGGCTTAAAACATGCTGCACTAGCTGGTCAGAAGGAGCAGATTTCTACTGTAGTACTCTCCGTAGGAGGCACACATGCAACATACTGTAACTGCACACTCAATTGCATGAAGTATATTTTAAATAAACTTTGCCCTAGTGAGAATGATATTTGTAAGAATATCTTCAGGTTAACAAATATTATATATGATGCTTTGTCTGCAGAGGCAAAAAATAACTTTTTTTAAAACTTTTGGTTACTGCCGATGTTTTTGTCTCTCCACCTGTTTTACACCGATAATGCAGTAAAATAACGAGCTTTACTACCTCTGTCCTGACTCCTGAGAGAGCTGCCCTTGAGAGATAAAAGTGAAATCCCCTTGTCCGTGCACTGGTTCACAGCCAGCCTCCAGAGCCAGCCTGCGGAAGTGGGTGACAGAGGGGTGCCTCACCTGCCCGCGCGCCCAGGTCCTCCCGCTGTGTCAGGGGCGAGCTCATCGCGCAGCTCCGCTCAGACCTGGACAGACCGGTGTGCGGCTCTGCCTGGTGCTCTTCTGGCGTGCAAGAGGATATATACTGCGTACAAGAGGAAGGAGGAGAGAAAGCGAAAAAGCTTTGACAAAAGAGGAAATTCTGCTCTTCCAGATTAGGAAAATGAAAAGATGACGTCAAGGGCAGCGAACCAATTGTCTGTTGTACGTTCCCGAGAGTTTCGTGTTTTTAGTGATTTTTGCAGGCTCTGTCAGTTCTAGTATTCTAAATGGACTGTCCCATATAACACTGCCAATCTACAGGGGCCTTCAATAAAATAGAGAAAGAACTGGTAAGAAGTTCATCTTTTACAGTGAGAATATTAATTATTTAAATACAGCCTGGATGTTCATCGATGTCTGTTAAAAACACACCACAGAAATGAGCAGCAATGACAGTGTTGTGCTGAACTTTACTTTAGTAGAGGCCTCATGCTGCCCAGCACAACACTGCTAAATAAACTTCAGAAAAACGATATTAGAATGATTCTGATAACGTTTATTCCAGAACAGTTTTTGCTTCTCGTTTTATAAACGCTTCTCGTTTCAAGGTGCACCCCAGCAGGGACAATATGTGCGGAAGGAGAGATTTGTTCTTTTGCTTGACTTTGTCGGTGGAGTCCCAGCTGTGCTTTGAGAGCCGATGGAGGAAGAGGAACAGGTCTGTCCGTGTGGCTGCAGTGTGCAAGAGCACGGGGGGAGAGAGAGCCTCTGGCTCCACCTAGAGGCGGCTGTGGTGAAGTGCTGCTCAGAGAATCGTGCTCCCCAGGACAGTGAGGGGACTTCCTACTGCACTGCGACAAATATCCTGGGATTAGAGAAACATTCTTCCCCA